TCTCCGGTACCGGGAACCGAACTCACGACCTTGCGCTTGCCAGGCAGGCGCTTTTGCCGCTGAGCTAAATCCCCAGCCCCATCTTTTCCTCTCTTTCATCTTAATTTTTTTTTTTTTTTTCCTCTCCTACCTTCAAATGACTGCTGGTATTGGCTGTGTTAAGTTCTGCTGGAAATTCTAGGTTGACACGCGCCTGCCACAGACCCTTGGCCAAGCCATGGATCCATCTATGTTCTGCAGCTCAGTATTTGCTGCCAGATTGCAGGTTCCCCAGGGAAACACTCCCTAGCCATTAAGTATAGTGGGCTCCCTGGTAGCAGGGGATAATGGAAAGAACACCAAGATTAGGAGGTAGAAGTTCTGTTCTAAATTGGGTCAATTTAACCTCTGGGCAGCTTAATCTCTTTGATCCTCCATGAGCTACGTAGGAAGTGGTAGATAGATTAGCGCCCCCAGCTCATGTGCATTTACATTATTTGTGCTGCCTCAAAGCAGGTTATTTATAATTTTCTTTTCTGACAAGAGAATATCTAATCTTTTTCACTATTGTTTGACCTACTCATTTATTAATTACTTCAGTATTTATGTTGTATATACCTCAGGGCCCCAAAATTGTATACTGTCATATGAGGAACACATGGCAAGACAAGTAATGTCCTTACTGTGATAACTGAAAAAGGTAACGTGCGTTCATCCTCTTGTGCTCTTTTTAAACAGATTCAGATAAACAAACTTAACTGCATGCTTCTCAGATTTTTCTGTTTAGTGGCTTCTTTGCTTTCCATCATATTTCTTCTTCAGTAGTCCCCCAAAAAATGGTTTCTTGGGTTTCCAAGCAATGAGAATACATGCAATCATAACCAGTTTATTCTTGCTCATGCTACTGTTTTAGAAGTGAAGTTTCTGACAAAACTGTATGTTTCTAAATTTGGAGTTCAATTGGGGATCCATAGCCCTTTTGGAGTCAGCTCACAGAATTAGTCCTTGAGTGCCCTAGTCCCAGGCCTTTGCATCAAAGAAGAAATGGAAATGATCTGACAAGGAGAACAGCATCTGACCTTCAGGAAGTGTGAGCACAGGAGGCCGTGGCCCTCCCTCTGAGCCATTCTGCTGGGAGCGGCTGCAGCCAGGTGCTCCTGGCTTCAGGAACTCTTTCCAGACCCTGCCCGAATAGAGTGGGGCAGGAACTTAGGGGCAAGATGTGTTTCTAGAATCATTGCCATTCTCTCCTCTAAAGTTATCTGCCCCGGCCATACACCAGTGGCCTCTCTTGTCCAGGAGGCTGAAGAAACAATCTTAGAGTGCAGAAGCACTATGTATGTGGGGGAGTTTGGTGTAGTGCAGGGCGAGCTGGTGACACTGTCTCACTCAAGTTCATTATCATTAATCTTGTGTCACCATGACATAGAATCCACTTGAAAGTTACTTGTGATAGTTGTATAAGTAGTAGCTACCTGTTTCTCCCCATTAATAACTAGCTAGATGATGCCATAGTTTTGAAACCAATGTAGAGTAACCTGCTATGACATGATAATGAGCAACTAAAAACGGAGTGCTTGCGTATCTCTGGCTCTTCAGATATGGTATCAATTTCAGTTTTCACCTGCCTCAGATCAGTTTTCCTTACTGGAAAAAGTATGGTCTTTCCTAACCAAGTATCCCTGTGGTGACACAGGCATCTTAATGCCCTGTGACAGCTCTGAGATTTTGCAGGTCTCTAGCCACCAATTTCTCAATCAGAACATTCCCTGTTACAAGGACGAAGGCAGGAGGTGATTTTAAGGTAGTGTTTTACTTGACTTTTGGTTGAGTCATCACTGCATTGTAATTTCTTTCCAATCACAGTGCACCCCTCAACTTGCGTGTGCATTTTAATCTGTAAGTAATCATTATTCTAGCAGAAAGCAGATTTGGAATTCTTAAGGGTTTATTTTGGCTAGATTTATGAATTATATATTTTTTAATCCTCTTAGAAAAAAGCTTAGCAGTTTTTAAAGAAAACAGTAAAACTGTAGATGCTAGATTTCTTAAAGTGGAGGTTTTTTCCCATAATAAGAGAACTGGGGAGGGGAGAGTAGGGTATTGCTCAATGCTCTGTGTATTCCCCCCGCCAGTAATCCTTTTAACTGCCCTTGTCAAAAGGCAATGTATCCTTTCTTGTTAAATTGGCCCCTAGTATTGCTTCTCTGATGACAGGTCAGTATCTAGTAGAGGTGACAGTTTTTCTGTAGCAGAAGCCATTCAGGAAGAATTAAGGATATAAAGACCTCTAAGGCAGGAAAGGGCTTTTAGGAAGATGATTTGGGAACCTTTGGATTGAAGCTCCCAATTGGACTGATGCCGTCTCAGTCTGTTTTAAGGTTCCTAAGTAGATGGTGATCTGTCTGGTCTTTTATTTGAAAACTTGAGAAATGGAGTACATTTCATGGTCACATAAGAACTTTCTCTTTCATTTTACAAAGAGTTCTGTAAAGGAAGCATTTACAGAAACTTAGCTTATAAATTACACTCTCAGATACTGCTCTAATTTGTGTCATGCAGCATATTGACTGGCCCTGTTGCTAGTCGTGCAAAGCAGATGCAGTTTTCCTGAGGCTGTACCGTGAATATGTGGCATAGATTCATAGTGAAGGTATTTACCAGTGATATGGTGTTTGTCTAGAGAGGCCTGGATTAATGATACTTTGTACAGTCTCTTAACTGATCATGGTCCCTCAAGCAAGCAATTTAATTCCTGAGTCTTAGGCTGTCTACGTGAAAAATAATGTCCATTTGTAGGTATGCTAAGATTGGATGGGCTAACTTGGGCAATAGAAGATTCAGTACAGTAATTGTTTCATGTTGTTGATGTGAGTCCACCTAAGCAGGTGTTAAAGCCTGAGGTGGATGCAGTCAATAGTTAGAAGGATTTTATGAAAGAATCGCCCTAATATTAGGGTTGCTATTTTGAACTAAACAAAAACTGATATCCATGCCATATATAGATGTTTATGTGCTATTAGTTTAGCTTCCGACCATGACATGTAGGGAATATTTGCAAGAACCAGAAAAATAGCTTCGTGGGAATATGACTAAAGGAGTTCCCAAGAATCTTCCATACATGTGATTCAGCTAGCCCAGGAAGGAAGTACACATCTGGTTTCCT